CATTTGTTTGAATTATATGGATATATTCGTACTGGAGGTAGAGTTTAAAACCAAAGCTAAGTAACACCCCTTGGAGAGAATACTTTCTCAATGTGACCTCATATGACACCTGATCATGTCATGTTCGGTAATGATGTAGGAACTGAATATTGGTGGTAGCATAATTGAGGCTGCCCTGGAAGAGGCTTGTGGAGCCAATAGATCTAAAATAAGGAATCTTTATAATACCCTGGGTGATCTTGGTATAATGAACTTAACTTTGTATCTAATTATAATTCTCTGGATGCATTAAACTTTTGCTGTTTTTAACCAATATGTACTGAATCAGGAGACGTTGCTCTTCATTGCCGGCAAAGGCAATCACTGCTTGCTCCTCCAACAGCCCTTACAATTCGAGAAGTCTATTCTGTTCTACGGAAGATAAGGTATACATTTCCTTATCATTTGAATTGTTACATAGAAAGATGCTAATCATATTAGTGATTTGTGATCTAAGATAGTTGGTGCAGTAATGCTTCCCAGTTACTTCATAAACTCAACACTGTGGGTTTAAGTATTTATTTGCGCATTCATATGTCTTATGTAGAGCACTCATTTTAGTGACTGCAGAGACGTACTCGAAGCAATTATGATTTATTCAAAGGCCTTTTAGTCTTTTCGATGTAAAAATTAGATTAATTTATAATGGAGGAAATAAAATATAAGCACAGTATTGAGCAGTACAACTAAGATGAGAGCACCCAGATAGCTTGTGTCAAAGTAAGAAGAGTAAGAAGATAAAACGGAAAAAAATGGAAAGAGATATTTGGCATCTAAAGCTAAGTTTTAGCTACCTACATGAGTTTGTACGATCTTAATCAATGGCAACTTAAAAGTTAGAGCAATACGACAATCAACTGTGGAAATCATAACAACCGAACAAGAAATTGCAAGAACAGAATATATGTTTTAGTGTTCTGTAAATTCTTGCGAGGAAAATGTTTTCGCTTTAACTGTGTCGGGATGTAAACTTAGAACCCACCTCCCCCAGTCTAGTCTCCGTATTGTATTTCAGTGGCAAGCATGTCTAGATCATAACTGCCATTCTGAGTTTAGAAAAGTGTAGCCTGTCCATGAATTTTGATATTATATTATGTATGTGCTGTTCTAGGTTTGAACAAAGATTTTTCTTGTAAGAGTGAGCATTAGGTAGGATGTTTAATGGTTATGTATAATTGTTTGCAACCCAATCAGGATTTGTTTTGCCTTTAATTTTGTTTTATCAAGTCTGGTACCGAATCACTCAGTTGGTCATAAATAATCCACTACATATCATTTCCGACTCCCTAATATCTACCTGGGTAATGCAGTAGGTTGATATTTCCAGTGCATCCCTGTGGGGTTTGGTTGAGTCTTGGGAATCCGAGTAAAAGACTGTCCCTCCTCGCACTTTACAAATGGCTTTGCTGTTATACAGAAAAATTGGCCTGGGACTTTCTACTTTCTGATATTCTTAGTTTATCATCATTTTCTTGGCACTGTATTGTTGGGAGCTATCAAGAGTGAAGTGTCATTGTTTGTTTGATGGAAAATATCTAGCCCTTTTGCCTTTTGTATTCTCTGTAAGCTTGTTTCACCTTTACATGTAATCCATCAGTATACAAACTGGTAGTGGCAGTACGACCAGGAAGAAAAGCCTCATTGTCAATCTCTTGTGTTCATGTAGAGAGAAGGAGATGAAATTTATTGTCCGAACTTTGGTATGTAAAAGTAGAATCTTTCCTTCTCTGTGTAAACAATTTTTTATTCCATTTTGCAGATGTCTGCATTCGGCCAAAAGCTATTTAAAAATTAATATTCTAGATATATTCTATGGTTGAAGTTTTTCCTGAATGCTGTGAGTTTGATTCTTGGTTGAACAATAATACACATTCTCTGCATTCTTCTTTTTCGAGTGATGAATTGTCCATTGCAAATGGAGCTGGAAGAGTCATTGTTGACAATTCTCCTGGCATAGTGCTAATAATGGACTAGATCAAAATGGCTCAATTAAATTCTAGTGCTTCTTCTATTAGTGAAGTTTCTAGAAAAAAAAAAATATATCAAACGGCGCAATGCACCTTGGGTCGCTACGGAAACAGCCTCCTTGTATAGTTACAAGGGTAAGGTCTGCGTACAACTGACTACCCAGACCCCAACCTGTTGGGAATATACTGGGCATGTTGTTGTTGTTGAATCTGAAATTAGTGTTTAAGGATGTAGATCAAGAGGTTTGGACGAGTGAAATAAATTTATATATATGATGTATGCTTTTATATAGATTGAAGCTGTTAGACTGGGCAACATTATGAGAGCATGGTGACTCAGAATGAATCATGGAAAATAAAGAAAGAAAAAACTGACTATAAATTAAAATAAGTGGCTATACATTATGCTTTGATGGACTTTTATCTTCAGCTACCAATATTGTTTGGAGTTTGGTGATGTATAATCATTCAGAGTTGTCGCCTTTTTATGTTGTTTATATGTTACAAACTTTAGTCCTTTTCGGTTTCTTGACGATCGAAAGTATTTATGATACTTGCGTTCTTCTGCATAGGTTAGAAACTTAAGAATTGGAGCTATGATGAGAACAATTCTTCCTGCGTTAGCTCAAGCCATTGTGATGAACACAGTTGGACTAGCTGGGAACTCAAAGGATCATGTTCAGGTTTTTCTATTTTACCCATTATTTCCTTTCTTTTTTAGGTTTATGATACTATCCGCAACTTTTAGAACACGATATTGTCGGTATACTTGTATTTAATGTATAGTTTGCTGAGAGATAGTTATTATGTCTTCTAAGTTTTAACTTTCCCTTCTTCTTGGGTAGCGTCTCTCAAGTGCAGTAGTTGAAGCTTACAACGTACTTCCAAACTTGGTAAACATTGTCTTCTCTTTGTCCTCATCTGGTTTTGCTAGCTTAGCTTGTAATTGTATTGTGTTTCTACATAGAATATGGTTGAAAACTTGGAGAAACAGATTCAACTGCCTATTTTCCGCTTTTAAATGGATTTCAGCAAAATGGATGAGATGTTTCGAAATGTTAACTTGAAATTATGAGAGGCCATTCAAGTTCTATTCCAGATATACCACTTCATTATTTTGAAGTCTGAAACTTATTCATTGACAAAACACTCCTGTCTTCTTTTGTGACTAAGATTTTAATGCAATGATGTGCCTCCTTATCTAGATTTTATCATTTCTGTACAACATCAGTCCTTGCAATTTTTCCTCTTACCATTTATTTTATTAAATCCTTTTTCTCTCGACCTCTATTTTTGTTGCATCTTTTTGGTGTTTGTGTGTTCTTTTTGTTTGCTGATGAGATGTCTTGAAAATTTGTACTTCTCACTGACAGGATTTACTTATCCCTTGTTTGATGGAAAAAGGGATCGATTTTTCGTCATCAACCATATCAATGGTTCCTGGGGTACCAATCAAACCAATGCTGGCTAAGTACTGCAGCTACCACTTCCATATCTGACATGAAGAAAAAATATCTGTAGTGCACATTTGNTCTGGCATTTTATTGTAGAATTACTAATGGAGCTCCTCAGGTGCTGAAGATCTTCAAAGATAGGTCATTTACATGTGAATATAAGTAAGTTCTGTTTGAATTAAGTTATTGCATTTGAAGGATTCCCTGCTTTGAAATTTGGGTTGTATGGCAATTGTGATATTAATTTGGTCAATGTGGTCTGTTTGCAGTTTGATGTTGCTAGTGAAATCATTTTTTTAGTACACGTAATTCAAATAACCATGAGTGTCAGTTAGTATATGACTACCATAATCTTCCTCCATAACTGTAACTCCTGATTCTTAGTTCTTTTGGAGCCTTTTGCACATTCTACTCATTGGGCTCTAACCCCACTCCTTATTTGAGCTACCGCTTGGTCATTTTCTAAACCCCTGTTGGATCCATCTTATTTCTACCACAAAGCGAACAGTTAATTGGTGCTTTCTTCCTTGTGAAGCCTATGTGTTTCTGAGGCCGTTTTAGTCGAGGGAAAATAAGGTTCTGATTGCATATGAGTTATAAAATTTTCTATTTCTTGTAAATGGTTTGTTAAGGTCAAAGATTGAAGATTTTCTTACATTTCCCGCCTATAATTGTTTTCCATACATCATTATGTCTGTTTTAATTAAGTCGGAAATTGGTATTTCCACTAGATAGCCGATTCTCTGGCTTGAATCGTTTTTGTAGTGTGGATATATTCTTAAGCATGTACAAATTGAGGAACTGTATCATTTGGTAGGATTTTTTCTGCTATATTGTTTGTGTCGACAACCAATATACTATTGAAGTACCTTCAATTTTGGGCCTCCTGGCCATAACTATCTTGGCACAGAATTCAATCTTACAATACCTGCACAAATGGAACTCTTTGTTTTCTAGATATGATGGCCAACGTGCTCAGATTCACAGATTACCAGATGGTTCTATACATGTTTTCTCGAGGAATGGTGATGAAACCACAGGGAAATTCCCGGATGTAGTTGACATAGTTAAGGAGTCTTGTGCCCATGGAACAGATACTTTTATTTTGGACGCAGAGGTAAGTCTCTTGTTTTCTTTGCTCTTTCTGTTTGGGAGGTTTTT